TAATCTGGTCTAGCCGCGGCGGTTTAGCAGCCGCGTCGGAGATGGTCTCATGGTTCACAGCGCAATTTTACAAGGACATCATTATGCAGGGCCTTGAGCCTTGCAAAATAATACTTGTAAAATTCTATATCCCCCTATTCAAAGCCTGCTGTGACTGTGAGCAGCCACCCAGGCAGGCAGGGCTGGAACAAGATCATACATTAACACCAAAATTTATAATATAGATGTACAGCTATTTCGGAAAGGGTTGTCCAGTTGTCTCTCAAATTTTTTTTTTTTTTTTTGAAAATTTTTAAATTTTTCTTTGTACTGAACTACAGCCGAGGAGGTACAGCTGTCATCGATAGTTCAGTTCTGACAGGTCCAGTTCAGTAAAAAAATAAAAAATAAAAAAAATAAAAAAATAAAAAAGATTTCGCGAGTCCAAGTGGACAACCCTTTCCGAAATAGCTGTACATAGCAGTCCTGCCACACATACACCAGTGGGTCGGCGCCATGTGATGCGGCTCTTGGCGCTATCACTTGTATCGGCAAAACATAACGTACGGTGATGCTCGGACGGAACACACGAGCAGCAATAGCCACAAAGCGCCGGAGGGGACAGAACCCATCAAGTAAAAGGCTTGGCTTTCGCTGACTCTGGATGGCATCCGCGTAAAGCATCACCAATCTTACATTGTACCTCACTCGTCCAATCTCATCACAGCTATCATATCAGTTACAATTTCAAGTCGCAACCAACCATGTTGCTCATAGATGGGATCAAAAGATGTTCCATCATCTCATGCGCGGTTATCATTATGACGGTCTTGTCTTCTGTTAAGGCATCAGAATTGCGCAAGTCCTCCCTTGCTCGAAGACATAGAGGCAGGGAACCTACACAAAAGTGTGAGATACAATTCAATCTCCACACAGCTTATGATGGTACAGGTAAGCACCCGTGCCCTCCTTACAACATCACCAGCTCGAATCCCATCATCACATTTGCTGATTCGTCACAAAAATCTCAAATCTATCCATCCCTAGTTTGCAAAAACGACAACGGAGTGTACTCGTGTGACGCTTCAGATTGTCGGGGCGGTGAGCTATTATAATATCTTGACTTTGATTGCAAGGACTCTCTGAATTAATAACTATCATCTTTCTTCCTGCTAAACCACACTCGTGGCTACTGGATCACCATCAGAGGGAAACCCCCGAGATCCCTTTGCATTCACTAGCTGTCGGGCTATGAAAGAAGGCGGCATTTTAACCGGGGATTTCAAGAAAGTTTACCCGTTTACGTATTTCGTTACAAACACGGATATTCGTATGTGGTGATTATGATTCTGAGTTGGGCTAACCACAGAGATCATTGGAATCAATGCTCATGTTCTCCGCTCCCCCCGTTGCGTAGAGGTCGTCGATGGACAGGATATCAACTTCTCATGTCCAAAACTATTCAACCCACAAAGGGTTTGTGAGTCTCTCCATTTTGAATGTCACATGAAAGCACGCCAGCATGAGACTTATAAAGACAACTTCACTCCAACCATCAGCCTGTAGCTATTGTTCCAAGCTTACTTGAGACGATTTGTAATCGCCTGCCAAACAAGCGAACCTTGCTAGCCATGTTCAAGCTGTCCAACCCAAAATTACCAACAAGTTTTTTTTTTTGACAGATTGCTCGCTCTTCTTCCATGTGCTTTGAGCCCCTGGGTTCCACTCTGCTTGCGTATCTATAAGAGTTTGTACCTTGTGACCATTTTTTGATTGTAAAATTCATATTCCTATTGATTAGAATTGCATATTGTTGGAGTGTGACCTTGCGCGCTTTAGCCCACAGAAAATGTTTCATCATAGTGCTTGGAGGTTTCTAGTCGACTCAAGTTGAAATTGTCCGGTCAGCTTGAATTACAAACACCTGGAAGAGTGTCAGGAGGGTGATGGCGAAGTGAAGTGAGAGAAAGTGTTACTCATTTGCTATCGATCAGAGTCATCCATCACCTCCAAGCTGGGTTTGATGACCATTGCCTAATGTTGCACAAGGGTCAGAATTTGTTCTTGAACTTCGGCTTTGGTGAACGTCATATCCCATCTTGTTTTGAAAAAAAAATCAGCATCAATCAGCTTTTCGTTCAAGCTAGTCAATCCGCAAGTTTTTTTTTTTCCCTGCTCCTTCGTTGACACCAGAAAAGTTCTGGCTCGCGTCTTCAAGCGTGTTTAGCCAAGGCACCGATCAGTGTGCTGTGGAGATAGAGATCCCAGACAAAATCCCCTGTGCCCCGTCTGCTATCCAATTATGCGAGTCGAACTATAGCTGATCGTCCATGGAGCTCCAGCAAAATCCTCCTGGATAGTCGCAATGAAGCGGGAAGCTACTCGGTTCTATGAGCCGACAGGGTGCACTGCTCAGTTCGTCTTTGGCTAAGATGCACAATTGAAAAACGACACGCGCAATCTCTCTCGCAGGCGTTCTTCAATATCATTATCTATTCTCATTCAGTGTGGACCGGCTATTGCCATCATGAATGACAACCGGATCCTCGAGTACCATCAGCACCATCACCATAGGCAGATAAATACAAAAAAAAACAGAGTGAATGAAGGATAGAAGATGGTGGAGACGAGAGTGGATAAACCTCAACAGTCAGCCTGTTCCACTTCATCTCGAGTGCATCAGTAACCAAGACTTCGCAAGTCCAACTATGACTGATCGTCGGGACGAGGTCAAGATTCCGATCGAGGACGACAAGGACAGGCCGGCTGCCTTTCAGACTGTTTGTAGATGGATGACCCCCATTGGGAGATCATTGGGCTGCCCTACTCTCTGCGGAGTGCGCCGCCTATGTAGCTGGCAACTGTACATACTCACCCATGACAGTTTGCGCCATTGAATACATATTTGATGAATGTGTTAAATTCAGAAGAGATTCATACACCCCAAGTTCAAAGGCGGCAAAACACATCGCACCGTGAGGCTCGGGCGGAATAACGCAACAATATCAATAGCCACAAAGCGCCGGAGGGAACGCTGAACCCATCAAGTTGTACATAAGTGTACTTGAAGGCTTTGCTCTCGCTCACTCTGGAGCAGATGGCACCGAACGACATCACTAACCCTTATCTCAATCTCACACATATCAATAGTCACTATAGAGGTCACTATTCCAAGTCGCAACCAATGATGTTCCTCGCAGATTGGACTCAAAAATCTTCGATCATCTATGCTGTTATAATGATGACTCTCTTGTCTTCTGTCCAGCTATCAGAATCGCGCGGGTCCTCCCTTGTGCGAAGACATTTAGGCAATGAAATGACTCAACAGTGTGATATGCGCTTTATCTACAGAACAGACGAGGGTCATTCAAGTAAGCACCCATGCCTTCCTTACAATATCAGCCAACATTCCATCGTCACATTTGCTGATTCATCTCAAAAATCTCGAATTTATCTATCCATAGTATGCAAAAACTATAAAAACCAGTATTTTGAGTGTGCCCCTGGGGATTGCTCGGGCAGTGAGCTATTATAACATCTTGACTTTGATCGCAAGAACCCTCAGAATTAATCACTGTCATCTTTCTTCCTGCTAATACACACTCGTGGCTACTGGATATCCATCAGAGGGATATTCCCGAGGTCCCTTTGCATTCACTGGCTGTCGGGCTTTGCAAGCAGACGGAACTTTAACTGGAGGTGTCAGGACAGTTTACCCATATTCGTATCTAGTTGAGACTGGGGTTCCATTTATTCGTATGTCGGGATTGTGATTCTGGCCTGGGCTAACCAAAAAAGATCATTCGAATCAATGCTCATGTACCCCCCCCCCCCCCCCCCCCCTGCTGGGTAGAGGCCGGCGATGGACAGAGGAACGTCTTCGGATGTCCATTACTAAAGAACCGACACAGAGTTGGTGAGTCTCTCAATTTTCAAAGGTCCTAGAGTAGAGGAAGAAAGCACGACGGCAAACTAAAGACAAATCTCACTCCAACCATCAGCCTGTACATATTGTGCCAGGCGTTATTGAGCAAATAGTTGATTGTCTCGCAAATAAGCAAACTGTGTCAGCCTTGTTCGACCTAAAATTTGCGACAAGCTATTTTTGACAGATGGCCCTTGTCACTACTATCTTGCTCTTCTTCCACGTGCTTTCAGCTTCTCGGTTCCGTATCTCAAGAGTTTGTCTTGTTGCATATCTGCGTATTGATCTTTCTAAAATAAACCTGCTAAGAAATGCCCAAAAGCTGGGCTGTTTTGGGTTCAATTACTTCAGTGTACTGCACTTGACAACATGAATGTTTGAGACCCAGAAGAGGCCAAACAAAGCGTACCATGACAAATCCTCTGGCGGAATCATTATAAGTGTTATTGCGCGCTTTAGCTCACAGAAAATGTTTCTCCACTTGAGTGATAGTACTCGGAGGTTCATAGTCAACTGATCAAGTTTACATAGATTGTCCGGGCAGCTGGAATGACAAACACCAGGAAGAGTGCCAGGGAAACGCATTGCAAAATCCTGTGTTTTTGTCTTTACTACTTTCTTTTTCGATCAAAAATGAGTTGCACATACATGACTGACCAAACTAAAAAAAAAAATAGCATTTAATGAAAGAATTGGTTGATAGCTGATCCGCGGTCCAAGATCCGGAGCACTTCAGCCGGCTTACGTCTAGTATGATACAACAGAGACAAGTCTAGTATATGCTCAAATTGATGTTTTGTTTTGCCCGGACTCAGCTTGTGCAGCAGCCGAACCGCTGACTGCAGGATCTACTACTCGGCGTGAAGCTGCTCTCGTGTTTTTGTGAGATGATGCTCTCTCGCCTCAGCTCAGGAGAACAGGAAACCCACAACTTCAAGTCGGGTCAAGTGGAGTGAAGATCATGAAGCATGTGTCGAGGTTTGAGTGAAAACCTTTGAAGTCAATAGGGATCAATCTCAGGAATCCCTTCATCGCAGGTCGTTCAGCATTCTTGTTGATCATACCCAAGAGTCCAGCCAGCGAGCTCAGGCCGAAGCTTCGCCTTCCTTCGGAGGCTTGATTTGCGACTAGCTCAACCCAATCCCTCGATCGGAGGGCCTAGTATAGCCAGGCGGGCAATACGCCCCTCATCCTCCTTCAGAGGCTCGCTTCGCGAGATGCCCCCGGCCCTCTGAAACAAGGGGATTGTGTTAAGCTATGCTTGGCGCGAGCTTGACCAAGCCTCTCTGTGGAGAGAACTCCGCAAGGTCTTTGCACTCCTCCGACCGAGGGGCTGGCATTAAGCTAGACCTTTTGCATCTTTTGCACATAGCCTCGGAACTAGCTTAACGCAATCCGCAGGATGAGGGGCGTCTTGCCTGCTTAGCTATACCAGGTCCTCCGATCGAGGGGATTTGGGTTAAGCTACATAGGCCTCAGAAGGACCTCCAGCAAGGCTATGTCCTATGTAATACTGGTCGACTGGGGTAGTAATCTTGGTCATTCGCATAGATACAAACATACTAGTTGCAAACTGGTGAGGTGTACATAAACACACACCATGTGATCAGACTCTTGGCGCCATCGAGAGTGCACCGGTGCAAGAGTCAGGAAGACTTGGGCAACGAAGTCCTGATATTTCTTCTAGCCATCTCCTGATACGTACATATTTCTTTTGCTTCCTAGTAACGCATGCGACACCCGACCACCACACGGGAGCAGTTCTGCGGCAGAACGGGCGGACGCCACAAGCCACCTGCAACACTGGATGGACCGTGGGTGGGCCACAAGCGGTCCATCAAGTATAAAAAAGCTCCTCACTCCTGAGGGCATTCCGGCGCACCCCCTGGCCTGACTCACCCTTACCCTAACCGTCCAATTCACACATCTGATCAGTCATTGTTACTATTCCAAGTCACAAAGAAAAATGTTCCTCATAGATTGGACTCAAAGATCTTATGTCATCTATGCAGTCATCATGATGATTCTCTTACCCTCTGTTCAGCTTTTAGAATCGCCCAAACAATCCCTTGCGCGCAGACGTGTAGGCAATGAACCTGAACAAACCTGCGATAAAACTTTTCAGTTGGCGACAAGCAAAGGGCATTCAAGTAAGTACCAATGCCCTCCGTACAAGATCACATCTCGCAGCCACAGCTCCTGATTTGTCGCGAAATTACCAAATTCATCTGTAGGATGCCAAACTGCAAAGGGAGAAGTTTACCTTTGCGACTATTGGGATTGCCCGGGCAGTGAGTTTGTATGTATACCTGAGCTTTATTCTCCGGACAAATCACTTATAAAGCTTTCTTCTTGTTACACACTCGTGCTGGATGACTATCAGAGGACAAACCTGTTTTTAAGTTTGTGGACTGCCGGCCCTTCGATGAGACCACTCAACAGCCTAATCAAAACGCACAACCAACGACAGTTTACCCATTTGGATATACCATCATGGACAGCTTTGACTACTTACGTAGGTCGTAATGAACGTGCTAGGATGGATGTCATAACCAAATTATTTGAATCAACGCTGATGTGCAACCTCCCCCCCCCACTTTTGTAGAGGCCGTCGATAAGGCGGGTGTATACTACGGATGTCCACGCGATAAAAACAAACAATTGCTTAGTGAGTCTCTCAATTTCGAATGTCACCCACATGTACACACGCCAGCAGACTAACGCGAGGCTTACACCAACCAACAGCGTGTAATTATTGTGCCAAGAATGATTCCCCATGATTCCACGCTCCAATAAGTGAACTTGGCATCTGGCCGGGCATTTCGTCAAACTGTGTAGCCCGAAAGAAAAATCACCAGGCGTGTTGCGCTCGCGCCTTTTTTATTTTACTTTCCTTCCACTTGCTTTCAGCCTCCCTATCCAACTCCCTCCCGTTTCTTGTTATGCCCCTACCGGCTTGCCCGAGAATCCCGCGAGTTTCACATACATCTGCATCGTTCAGCCATATCTTCTGGCAAAATGTCAAGGGTGATGCGATGTATTTAAGTGTTGTTATACACATTGACCTTGTGATCATTTATTTTATCTAAATAAATGTATTCCTACTCCTTGTGACCCACTATGAAATGTCTAACACATGATTGTTGAATAAAATGATTGCCAACTGAGTCAAGTGATAGGGGATATTACTGCCAATCATAGGTGAAATTGTCCGGGAAGTTTGAAATTACAAAACACCTTGCAGAGCTGATGCCGATGGATGGGGAAGTCAAGACCAAAGAGAGACAGTGTGCAGTGACAACAAAAACATGGGTCTTCCCTGCTCTCCAACAACCGCTTGCGGATTCATGTCCAAGGCCAAGCATGCTTTACCTCAAGTGCTTGTGATCACCGGCGAAAGACTTTATGAATCCTTCTCAGCCGCTAGCCATCAGATTTATGACCCTCTAGAGATTGCAGACGAAATGATGTAAGGTTCCCGGTGTGATTTTCCTTATACTAGTAGTGTTATAAGCGATCGTCAATCGCTTTCCAACGAAATCCGGCTGGATACTCTTAATGAAATCCGCGAAAACTACATGTTTGGTCCTGCGTAGAGACGATTCTTTTTCCTAAATTGATGAAGGGTTATAGGGTTGAGGTTGACTGAGTGACATGAGCTCCGAATGGGCAGACTAGAGGAAGGGCTTGAGAAGCACGGTGATGAAATAAGTAAATAAGGATGTACAAAGACTCAGTTATGTAAGATTTTCATTAAGGAGTCATCATAGTTTCCATTGGAGTGCTTCAGAGACTGCCAGGATATCCATGGTGCATTCTTTTCTGCTGCTTTGGACCTCTTGGACTGACTGACTCTCTCCGGATAATTCTTGTTTAACACTCTTTGATACTTTGTTTCTCCTAAAAAAGAAATATTCAATTCTCATAACAAAAAACAAAACTATTAGACAATCAGTCAAAACTCTCTTAGTATCTTTCACTAAGTAATTGAAAAAAAAAAAAAAACAAGAGAAAGTGATAGCAAAATATTGGACACAATGAGATCAAGGATCTGCCCTGTTCCTTTACGGTCTTGTTAAGTTGTAAGTGGGTTATGGTTAGTGGCATAAGAAGAGAAAGAGAAAGAACTCGATGACAAAAATACATGTAAATTTAATGTATATATCACAAACAGGCTAAGCAAATGGTGAAAAAAGCCGGACAAAGTTGACATCAAAGGGGTTTCTTCAATAATAATTAAAACCACAAGAACAAATGTAAGAAAACAAAATGATTTTTTGATTGGATAATATATATGGAGAAAGGGAGGAAATTTATAGCTGAGATAAGTTGTGTAAACATGATATGAATTCGAGAGGAGACAAGATCTCAGTAGCCCCATACGTGATTTTCTTACTTCCACTACCAATTCCACCGGGCCCAGTAGACCCAGCGCCACCACCACCACCTCCGTAATTAGACGATCGAGCAGCAAATTCCTGTGAACGTATTGTTTATATATCAGAACAAGGAGGAGGGGATAAGAAAAAAGAGAAAGAAAGGGAGGACAGACCTGTAAGTTAGAAGCTTCGACGTAGCCGCCTCCACCAACGACGAACACGATAGCCTCGGCAAAGGTGATCCGATTAGCCTTCTTATTCTGATGCGAAGGGGCCGAAAAGTTGCGAGAGGAGCGGGGATCGAGGGTCAGATAGTCGTCGATGTCCGCCAGGGCTTGGTTTGAGGCGGCGGCCGGATCCATCAAGGCCTCGATGAGTCGGGTGATAATGAAATCCTTTCGACCGGGCAGGAAGTTCTTGACGCCCGATAAGATGTTGTCGATCCCTCCTCCTAATCCGCCTTCTTTCAAGCGATCTGTTAGCTGTTTTTTTTTTTCAACTTACTGTCAACCGTCTGTCTTCCTTTGGTTCTTTTGAATCTCGTTTCATCCCCTAGGACTGTCCAGAAAGACTTACGCGATTACTGATCGAACTGAATCCTCGGAAGAGCTCCCCTCCTGTACCAGTCGATGCAGGTGGGGCAGCAACACTAGCCGAGGCTAGAGCCATCGAATTCGTCATCCGAGAGATCTCCCTAATCTTTTTAACGTACTCCCAGGTGCCGAATTTCTCGAGCCCGGATTCTTTGAGCAGTCTCTCATACTCTAGTAGCTCATCTTTGGAAACATCCTGGTTACTCAGATAATAGACCAACATCAACCGGAGTTTGTCTGTGGGATCTTTGGATGAATCTTTCAAGAGTTCGAGTAAAGCTTGTCGGGTTTGCTTGGTGATCGATTCTTCCATCTGGAAGAGTGTATCCAGTCCTCTGTTCTTGATCCCTTGGAGTAAGGCGGTAGCTATGTTCATGTGAGTATCTAGTGTGGTCTTTCGTGCGGTGAGCTCGGGTAGTGCGGTGATGGCAGCCTTGAGATGGGCTGCATTGGATGTGAGATCGATTTGAGATACATCATTGATATCGCCGATTCCTGTCGATCTAGTGATCTCTGCTGCATCAGATTTGTACTTTGTCAATTCGGTATCGATCTCTTCTGCTACTTCTGGAAACGGTTTGCAAGAGTTTTTGGCCCAAAAGAAGTCTTTCGAATCCAGATCGTAGGTTTTTTTCTGTAGTTTACCACTTTCAGGAGCCTGAAAGGTTGAAGAAATCCAGAAGGTAAAAAAAGAGTGAGTGAAAGATAGAAGATGATGGAGACAAGAGTGGATGGACCTCAACGGTGACCCTGTTTAACTTCATCTCGAGTACATCAGTAACCAAGGCTTGGTAAGTCCAACTATGACTGATCATGGGGACGAGGTCGAGATTCCGATCGAGAATGACAAGGACTGGCCGACTGCCTTCAGAGGTGAAGACACTGTTGGAACGAGTAGAAAGTACATAATCCCTTAGTTTGCTATCAAGTTTTCTGGCCACCATTTCGGCTGCATTTCCACGAGGACATCGAATGATCGGCAATTGACCTTGAATGGTGGTAAGAGAGGAGTAAGAATGATTAGTTCTGGGGAAAAGTCGACGGGCTCAAGGAGAGAAGAAGAACAAGATCTCTCGATATCGACACACAACTACACACCCATTGTTGCGACTACACTGAAGAGAGATTTGGCGATCTGATCGGCGATTCCTTCGATCTCTTGTTCAGATGCTTTTGGGTCATTCAGGGCTTCATAGGTAGTTCTTTTGAGCGAGTTGCTTGGATTGAGATTTGTGGTTCCAGTTGGAGAGGAGAGACAGAATAGATTGGGGTCGAGTACGATAAAATCCAGAAACTGGTCATAAACCTACCAACAAATAAGTGGGTAAATTGTTAGTGAATTGTAGGTGTGGAAGCGTGTGGGGTAGACTGACTTGTTCGATCAGTGAGTCCGAGCCACTTTCGACTACCAGACTGGCTAGTTCTTCGAGCAGTGGTCTGGATAGGGTACTAGTGAAGTTGAGATAGAAGGATTCATAGAGGCCCTTATCGAGGTCGATTGCTATCCGTTTGATCGATTCACGTGATGGGCTGACCAGGTAGACAGCCGGCACATCAGGCAAGGGTGGTCGATCGGCATTGAGTTGCATGTGAAGGGTGACTCCTAGTTCCCTGAGGTCTTGTACTCTGAGTGTGGTTGCTAGGACATCCTGAGATTGTTTATCGAGTACGAGTACCTTCCAGGTTGGTAGGTTGGTGGTTGTTGCTGCTGTTTTCAGTTGGTGTTGTTGCTGCTGCTGCTGCTGTTGTTGCTGTTGTTGCTGTGGGTTGTTGAAGCTGAGTAGTGAGTTGAGTGACTGTAGCTGGTGGTCCCTGAGTGAGTTCCTCTGATGGTTGAGATGGTTCATGACTGGTTTTTGGGTGGAGTGGGGTAGTACGATGGTAGTAGTTTGGTGTGGGGGTGGAGTAGAGTGAAGAGGAGGAAGAGGAGACTCCAATTCGGAAGCATCCCCACCCCAGTCATACATGCACCCCCCATCATCATCATCATCATCATCATCATCATCACCGCCATTTGGAAATCACCACTTCATCACCCAACAGCAACAAACACGCCAACAACAACAGACACGCCAACAACAACAAACGAAAGACCAAGAAAACTATCGGGAAGATGTGGCTGTAAGTTCAACACACAATAATCAATAACACTCACTCGAACCAAACTGAGATCGCTACGTACGACCACAGAACGGACACTCAGAAGATCGGAGTCGGGATCACTTCGGCTGGGGTGATGTTCTTGATGCTCGGGAGCATGCTATTCTTTGATGGACCACTCTTAGCACTTGGAAATGTCAGTATCCTCCATCTCAGGTTAGATCCTCATTCCCCTCTTTTTCTTATTATGAGCACACTTCATCTAACTAAAACAACTTAACTGACCTTTGGAACCCCCCCTCACACACAAAAAAAATCCAAACCTTAGATCCTCTTCCTCACGGGAATCACCTTCGTAATCGGACCACAAAAGACCTACTATTTCTTCGCTAGAAGGAATAAAGTCAGAGGCACAATATGTTTCTTAGGTGGAATCATTCTGTCGGTCCTAGATCTTTTTTCTCTCTACTTAGAGCACGATTAGGGAAGAGCGCTGTTAACAAAGGTCTGGATATATTATATATAGGGTCTTCTTGAAATATCCCTTCTTTGGGATCTTGATCGAAATGTTTGGTAAATAATTTTTTGGTTTTTGATCTCTCAAAGCTTCAAAAAAAAAAAAAAAAAAAACCGTCACTGACTGGCTAGAAAACGGTCACATTATCTACGCTCAGGATTCCTCAATCTATTCGGGTTAGTCTCCAATTTTTTTTTTCACTTCAAAACGCGGCTTCCGAGGGGAGGAACAGTGACATTGGGAATGCTACGAAGATGCTGAATTGACTTCCTTTCTCCCTTCTCGATTACTCCTGCCATCGTACATCTTTATGACAAAACAAAAACACATTTGCCCAGTGATTTCTTCCCGGTGATCTTATCCTTCCTGCGACAAATGCCAGTGATCGGTCAATTCTTAAGTCTACCTTATATCCGAGGGGTAAGCTGCTTCATCTCACCCTCTATAACCTGTCGCGTCATTGGTTATTGTGTCAAGTTTTTTTTTTTTTTTGCTTATTTTGCGTGGTTGGATTAATTGATCGATTGCCATTTTTTTTGGATTCAGTTCACAGATCGGATCGCGGGCGTCCGACAAAGTCCAGTATAGATCTCGAGGTTCATCGCCTAACACACACACACATATCCTTCTCCCTTCCCCACCGCACCGCCTCATCTCACAACCTTCTTCCCTTCACGTGTTTCTTTAGTCAATTTCACCTTGAGAAAGTTTTATCATGCCTTGTCAATAAATCAAACAAAATAGCCTTTTTCCCTTCTCAGTCTCCATATTTTTTGGCAGACTTGCCTTCAGGTTTTTCTTTGATCCGTTTCAGTTCATCGATATATATAGTCAGCTGTCATTGTCTGAATATTGTACATACAATTTATATGGATTCTCGCATCTTTCTCTCTCTCTCTCTAGATCTTGGTACACCCATAACAATCAGCTGAATTTGACTATTATAGAATAAGTGATCCCAGGTACATAGGTGGGGGAAATTAATGATTTGGAAGCAGAGAGAGCAAGTATAGAAAATCTGATATGAAAATTGAAACTTCTCCATATCATCCAAAATTCACCTGATCATGATTTGATCTTAATATTGAAGTTATGTATACTGTTTGGAGACTATTCAACTCCATTGATACCACTCTCTTTTGTTAAATTTGTTAATGAGATATTAACTACATTCACTGAAAACATCAATGGAAAAAGAGCAGATTTTATGTCATGAGAGAAAATTAAAATTCACAGTTAATGACTAGAGAGCCTGATGAAATTTAGGCCGGAGATGCGGAGAATTTTCTTTTTGAGGAGAAAAAATTTTGGGCAACAAAAAGTGTCTTTTTGTTGGAAAGACTCAAGGGTCGGGAAAAGAGGGTGAGAGCCAATGATTTTCATTTGCTAGTAGAGCCTACGCGTTAAATAGACTACATACAACAAGTTCAGTCTGTGGTTGAGAGAAATGAATATCAAAATGAATAAAACAGATTAACATATGCTTGAAAAGATGACTGGAATAAATGTAGTTGATAAAGACTAGACCAGGGTTCGAAGACTACAAGGATTTCAGCACTAGACAACATAACAAGATATCACGCAGAAACTATCAAGAAACAAAGTGAAAATCATGTAAATTATTTATCAAATCATATTGAATTTAACAGTGGGTTAGATGAGTTTTTGAGGGATGAGAAGAAAAAGAGATGAAATTCCAACACCCCCCGCTACTCAGACCTCAAAAACCTTAAAGTGAAAAAATAATTGTTTGAAGGAGATGAGAGATAAAAAGAGTGAGGAGGCAGTGTAGACTATGTATTGAAGTATTGAACACCTTCAAACCTCATTTCGTCGACATGATGGAGCTTGCCGTCGGCTGTTCTGAAGAGGGAGAAGTCTGTCGGATCGTTGAGTTGATTGAAGTTGTCTTGAACGGTTAGGTGTGCTGAGTGAGACTTGGGGGCTTTCTCTGGATACTTAGCCCAGCAGTTATTGATGCGGTGGCCGGGTTTCTTGCAGTGATCGCAGACCGTTGAGCTTGCCGAGGCTTGATCGTTCAATCGAGTGAGAAGCGATTGTGGCGGAGTCAAGGAAGTCGACGATGGTTTCTTGTCGAGGTCATTTTGAGCTACGTAACTTTCAAGCTTTTTGATGACAGATTCGAAGGACTCAGTACCGTAGTTCATCGAGACGATATCGCGGAACGAGCGGTTGTCGGACGGTAGCTTCTTGAGCATTAGGATGGTTCGGACACGGTCATCGAGGACAAGACCAGACATAGATATCTTTTGATTCCCTGATCGAACGGCAGGGATGAAAGTGGCGATGGAGGAGAAACCAAGATGTAAAAATTGATCGAGTGCTGTAGTTTGCGAGGTCAGATCATCGCCGGCATATTGCGATTTCAACAGCTTCCAGAGACCACGGCCATTGAAGCGAGGTGTTGCAGGTAGAGCAGAACTAACAAATCCGAGTACTTCCTGACCGATGTACGCTATGATTTCAGCATAAGCGTCGTTGTTCAGTTTAGTCCATTTTTCTTGTTCTTTTTCATCGGGTTCAACCTGTCCTTCGAGGATGTCGAGCAGCTTTAATCTGAAGAGTCTTGCCTCCATTGGTAATAACCAGAGGGCGTAGTTGAGAGGGGTTAAGAGGACTTTGGTTTCTCGGATGACTTTGGTGGACATGGTCGATGTTGATGTTCTAATCTAATCGAGAGAGAGAGATTGTTGTAACAGGTCTTTCGACTGTTAATCGTGATGAAATTTAGGCCGGAGATGCGGAGAATTTTCTTTTTGAGGAGAAAAAATTTTGGGCAACAAAAAGTGTCTTTTTGTTGGAAAGACTCAAGGGTCGGGAAAAGAGGGTGAGAGCCAATGATTTTCATTTGCTAGTAGAGCCTACGCGTTAAATAGACTACATACAACAAGTTCAGTCTGTGGTTGAGAGAAATGAATATCAAAATGAATAAAACATATTAACATATGCTTGAAAAGATGACTGGAATAAATGTAGTTGATAAAGACTAGACCAGGGTTCGAAGACTACAAGGATTTCAGCACTAGACAACATAACAAGATATCACGCAGAAACTATCAAGAAACAAAGTGAAAATCATGTAAATTATTTATCAAATCATATTGAATTTAACAGTGGGTTAGATGAGTTTTTGAGGGATGAGAAGAAAAAGAGATGAAATTCCAACAGAGCCCCCTTTAACAACAGAAGAAAACTCAAGGAAATAATTGAACAACAGAGGGATGTCACATTTCCAGTCACATGTATTAAATAACACAGGATGATGAGATCATACCCAATCAAATTAAATACATCTGGAAAACTGATTAAGAGGTTTTCTACTACCTTATGAGCCTTTTATTTGATATTTACTTTGACTGCAAGAATAAGTTGCACCAGTGATTTGTTCAAGTGTACATATGCACAGTCATGTGTGTATGATTGTCATTACTATTGGGACCATGTAAGAAAGATACAGCTGTTTGATTTGACTGTTGCAGCATTAGTATGAAATAAAATAAAACCTGACTAATTGGCTGGTTTTATGCCCCTTACATAGTGCTAATTTGGTTTGATATTGTGTCCCATGGTGAATGATAGAGGCGCTCAGACTTACATTGTGGAGACGTGACAGGTAAGACCGGTATATAAATACAGGTGTTTCTCAGACCTATAGAAACCCTAATTGCTAAACAAAACTGTACAGAAAGATAAAAATTTCACCTCAATTGTACATATGTAGTTTAGTTGAGGGGAAAGCCAGCTGTCTTCCTTTCCATTTCCACTTCACTTTATGTTATCCCTGCTAGCCAAGAATTGCCTTGCAGCAGTGCATCCAAGCTTTTCTCAGAATAACAGATATTCATCTTTTGGGGTTCTCATCAACAGAGATGAAGAACAAGTTTGTATGCGGATCCATCTGGACATTCTTTGGGGCAATCCAACCAATCTTCTTGATGGGCCGCCCAAGTTTACTACGGGGAAATCCTGAGCTGATTGGAAATTCATCACAGGCTGTAAGTGGTGCTCTTGTCCTGACACGCCGAAAGAGAGCTCCAGTACTGAATTTTGTGCCCGCACTTGCATGGGCAGCATATAATCGAAATATTCCGCAACTTCTGTGAGCAGTAGTACGGTAGATTCTTATCCAGCATTTGCAGACGCACTCCGGTCGACTGGTGCGGGTGATGGTAAGATTATTCTTGACTCATCATCAAACTGACTGACACTCATTTTTCAATTGGTATCATGCATCATTTGATGATCTTACGTTCCAATGTGAATCAATCACCCTTGCTGAGATTTCCAGGCTCATCTGAAAGCGTGATCGTCCTAGATTCTGATCCGCGGCCTCCCCTTCGTCATACAATTCAAGGTGAGCAAAATTTGGGTGGACGGGTGTTCCTGGGTGACTGGTTTAGGCTCAGCTTGCTCCCCTTTTTTTATCATCCCTCACTGCTAGTCGATACCGCAGATCCAACCAAGTCACTCGAGGACGGCAGACCGACAAAGCGCCAACGCTTGCATGAAGCACCTTCAGACGCTCCCGAAGCCACGGCAAGCACTTCGACAAATGTGAATCCACCTACTCCGGGAGGTCCCCCAAAAGATATAGTGGATGGTAAGATTCGTCCTCTGACAAATTTTGGTCTCAAAATGCATTTACATGGGCTAAGATTTGTATCCTAAATATCAACAGAAAGTATTGCAGCTTTATTAAATGCGCCCGTCAATCCGGATGAATTTTGGAGCATCTTTTCAGACATTCCTGAAGCCAGTACTTCAGTTCCAGATCACTCACGAGTCAAAGAGCCTCGACCCCCAGAAAGTTAGTGGAGTTTTGATGCAAGCGTTTGAGCTGTTGATCATTGATTCATTCTACCTGTGACCATTTTTTTTCTTGTTCTCACCACCATCATGGCCCCTTTGAAGATTCGAAAAACGGTGATGCAACCCGACCCATTGCCAATGCTCCGAAGCCTGACATCGATCTGTCAGACCAGCATGGAGCTAGAAAAAAGAACCCCATAGAAGTAATCGCCCCTACTAGACCGCCTCAACTGGCTGTTAGTGAAGGCGCCCCATACCCTCAAAGTACCAAAGGTATTGGGCCTATTCCAAGCTACTTCTATGCTGACGTGATCCCATTCTACAAGTCATCTCAAACCAAGATTTCGAAAATTTACAATGGCATAGTTTCTCATGTGCCTAAAACTCGTTGGAATGATTTTGAGTTTTGCGAGGGGACAAAACTTAGGGATAAATGGTTTGAATATGTCCCAGCAGATATGATATTTTCCACTTCGCCTACTTCGAACACCAAACTTGAGAGAATGGTATGGATCTTAGACCGTCATGATTTCTACCAATCATCCACCAGGATAAAAAAATTATTGTTAACTTTGCTTGAGTGGATAATTTCCCAACAAACTATGTTTTCAAGTAAGTGGAACGCACGACTTACTAGTATGGCCCTAGAGCGAAAATCGATACTTTCATGGGTTGAAAAAGAGACTTTCTTTCCTCGAGAGAGTCTTCCAGTAATCGGGCGGGTTCAACCTCATCAACTTCACAAGGGTTTTGGGAATGTTCAGCAATGGATTATATGGTACCTTCATTTTCAGGATCCAAAAAGTGCATATCTCACTGCAACAGCAGTGTTTGGATTGTGGTTAAAAATTCATCATCCAAAAAGGTGGCAAAACTTGATGAGGATCAACAGTTGTTTTTGGTATTTGATGACGTATTATGCAAGAGACGACACAATTCCCCAGTACATGAATAATTTAGAACTATTCAGACCAGGAAAACCAAACCAGCCACCTGATCTTGGAGTTATTGAACTAAATCAGCTCAGAAAATAAACTCAAGAATTACAATTTAACCATTTAATCATCAAATTTAGGATTCAGCCCCAAGATATCTTGAGGCAAGAGAACTTGATACTTGATAAACTTTTTGACTTCCACAAAAGGATAGGCCATGTAGCCAAAGAATTTTATACTCCAGAAGAGGGAAATTCAATTTCAACCAAAGAAATTTATGGGATATCTGCCCTCTTGCAAACCAACAAAAATTCTGTAACAGGTGAAACATCATTCTCAATCAGGCTCATTGACAATTCAAAGAATATAATTGATTCAGAAATAATTAGTACCAGATTGAAAAATATCTTAGAATCTCTGAGGTGGTGGCATGAAAACTTCAATAAGGGATTGGAATTAAAGGGAATAAGCCCAGTTTTTGATCCACACCAGTCTTTCCTGAAATGGCTTGATGGAAAACTCTTTGAATCCAAGTATAGCTTGCCTGTTTTTGGTTTCATCAATCTAAAATCAGAAGACATAGTTGAGGGTCCACTTGGATTTGGAACCATGCAAAAATTCTTGATCAATTGTTTGACTACCACTCCATTGTCTGACTCTGAACCTACAACAGCAACTGATTCATTATCAATACTATCTTATTGGTATCATTCATATCATCCCAAATTTTGGAAAACCCACATAAAGGACAATAGGAAATTCATGGATTATCTAACAAAAGGCTTAGTAAATAGCTGCAAGCCTTCTCATCAAATCTGTTAGATCTATAGACACACTGCTCAATCACTTAAATCATCAAAATCAAGAAAGTTTTCAATCATTTAAGGGGATCTCTCAATACTTTCTTGTTCTTTAATATAGAATAAAAACTACTTTGGAATCTCAAGCAGTCTTTATTCTATGAGCCTCGAGATGCATCTTAATATGTTCTCAGTTTGTCTCAGGATATCCTTCACAAAGAAATTCTAATTTACCATGGATTGTAAAATTTGGCAAAAATAATCCAAGAACCAAACCAGTTCTTTGGGTATAAACTAGAATGTCTTCAGATCATCCAACCCTCTCAAAAATTTGACTATTCTTTTTTCTTGCTTGGCACTGTAACACTGTTTTCAAAATCATCCCAATGTTACTCCTCTGATTTTCAACGCTCAATGCTGCTTTTATTGGCTTAATTTTGACCTTTCTAAAGTTTTCATGATCTTGAATTTGTTCCTTTTCCATCACTGTTTACCTTTGCCTCATTCAGTGTGAGTACTTTGATTCACTTGTTGGATTGGTCCAAAACTTAGCATTTACCCAAGAAGAAACATCTTTCATTCTTTGTGATGGGACTGGGGCGTACACGCATCCTGCGCCTCCTCTTGAAATTAGGGGCTAGTGTTTGCTTCTACCAAAGGTCAGATTGTAGTAATCAGTTCCACAGCGGCATTGATCTAGCTGGTTCCTTTCGCATTGAAATTAAATAATGCTTATCGTCGTGCTCAGTCCGTAGTCACAAGACCACCGTCTGTAACTTCTGTCTCCATAGCCTGCATCCGATGCAACACTTCCACCGTAGCTGAACAGGTTATGGTGGCAGTGGAGCATTGTGGGTTGCAGTGGAGCATTGTGGGCAAGCCGAAAAAAAATGTATTGATTAGAAAGATGTGCCAGTATGGAACTATGGTCAAGGCCTAACTTAACTAAGTCCCCCCTGGTGGGAGGTTCGCTGGTGTAAAGCACTGGCTGGTGGCGAAGCCACCCCTCCCGCAGGGAGGGACTTATGAACTTTGCGGGGGTGCTTGCCTGAGGGAATCTTTGGAAAGCAGGTTCAGTTTCCAGAGACTGTAGCTCAAAGGACAAGCAAGCTACATGCATGGTTCTGCAGGGAGAAAGATGCACTTGCATCCTGGCTTGCCTTCTGTCAGCTCTGATTTTGAAGATATATCTTCAATCAAAAGAGCGAAGCTGAAAAACAAAAAATAAAAACTTACCATACTTGAGCCCGGGGGCCCAAGCGCAGCCTGAGATGGGTGTGGTCTTGACTCGTCTTGATAGGCTTCAAAAATTTGCTAAAAAAACCCTTGTGGGTATCTAGCTGAGGTTGTGGGCTCTAAAAATCACAACAGCCTTGCTCTTTCTAGGTTTTGGTTGCTGGGATTGACGGCATCAAAACTACAGGCTGGAAAATTCAAAGAGTGAATTTCCAGCCTGTTTTGGTGAGTGGACTCAGCGAGCACCCCCGCAAAAGTTCGTAAGTTCCTCCCTGCGGGAGGAGTGGCTTCGCCACCAGCCAAATTTAAGCTCCACCCAAATCCGACCTCCCGCACAGGGAGGACTTTGTTAAGTTAGGGTCAAGGCCTCCCGTTTGGCATCAAAGGATCAATAGCAGTGGTGGAACTTACCCAGTCCTTCGCGGGTCAAAGTTTCGAAGGCCCCCGCGTCCAGCACAGGGATCTGACTTAGCCAAGCTCGATCAATTTACTCGTGCACACCCATCCGGCTTCTCCGCTCGGGACCGGCACCAGCACCGGCCGGTCTGACTTTCGACACCATGTCGAAAGCAACCTATCACATAGATCTCTCCGTCTCGTCGGCAAACTCAGAGGCTGGTCGGAAAATGAGGTGTGTTTTTACTAGTTGGAGTTACATCTTTCGGCGCACACCATACGAAATCCGAAGGCCAAGAGTTTCCAGTCAAGAGCCAATACCCAGCCGTCCCAGTCTAGCTCTGTTTCGAGCTTGTAGTTAGCCCGTCGTAGTTGAAACCGGTTGAGTTCTGGGTGCACGGAGCCGGTGGCTCACCGGCTACGGTTGACCTAGACCACCAGCTGCTGCCTTGTTCTTCACTTCTAAGCTAGTGACTAGTCCGGTTTATCTCACAAACTGTCCAGCCGTTGTACATCCTACACACCAGAGACTCGCTGAGCCCTCCCATTAAGTCCGGAGACAGCACTATCTTGATGGTACTCGGTGTCTGGGCCTTGCAAATGAAACATTCTAATGTGCTCCCTTTCCTTTAAATAGACTCCCCCTTTCCTGACGAATTTCTACTCCCCATTCTCATTCACCTTTACCCCCTTACAATAACGGTTTTCTTTACAACTTGTTATTCTTAATCATTAAATATATATTTTCGTTTCGAGCTAGCCTCTTTCGATTATAAGTTCTGTTCCAACCTTTTAATTTATTAACCTTTCTCATTAGTTTATTTTTTTGTTATACTTCATCTCAAATAATTACTCACTCCTCATAATTTACTATCAGAAAATCACGTCGAGCCACCCTACATCTTAACCCAATCAGCACAACAACCAACAAACAATGGATTTCTCAACCCTCGTCCTCCTTTCCATTACCATCGCCATGAGTGGGATGCAATCTACGCTAGTTTCAGCGACACCAGTTCCCCAACTCTACTATCCCAACCGAGTTGGTTACCCCGGGCCCTATGGTCCAGGAGTTGGTCCAGGAATATATGGAAATGGCGTCGGAGTGAGTGGTTCTCTCATGATTCGGGAAGCGTCCAACGTATTGACCTTTTTCTTTGTTCATCGATTGTTTTTCCAGCCATATGGGAATGGAATCTATGGTAGACCTGGTGTAAGTCATATAAATCGGGGCCTGGAATTTGGTTTCTTTACTCTTGCTTATTTTTTCTTGTGGATTGCCTGTAATAGATTTACCGTCGACAAGTCGCCCCCTTGCCTTCGACCCCAGGATCCATGACGATGACAACCCCGATGATTTCAGTTCACCCCATGATGCCCCAGACGGGCTCCGCTGCTTCCACGCCGGGCGGTCAACCTATAGCTGGTCCCGGGCAACCGTCAGCTGGTCCGCCGTCTTCCAAGCCGATGAACACGATGATCCACACGACGAATGAGCCCACCGATCCCACCACCAAAGTAAGCAGAACCCCTCATTCCATTCACAAAGCGTGACAGTTTGTTGATTCTTGACTCCTTTTCGTCCACAACATTCAGGGACCTGCCGGCGCACAAGCCTCCCCGTCCACCATCAATCAGGGTGTGATCGGTCAATCCAATAGTCCAACACCTGTATCACCTGCTGAAGCCGCCGGTAAACAGATCACTCGTCGTGAGGCTCCTGCATCACCTTCGCCAAACCCCATGCCTCAAAGTACACCCTCGACCAGTTCTGGTCCATCAGGCTCTCCCATGATGATGGGCATGGGCCCTCAGCTGACTGGCCAAACTTTGACCCCACAGACCGGGCAGAGCCAGATGATGACACCTGGGATGATGCCACCTTCTCAAATGGCTGCACATGGTCCGATGAACGGGATGATGCCCCCTCCAGCCCCATCAAGCGCACCAGGTTCAATGATCGGCATGATGCCCACTCCTCCCCCGCCGAACGGGCCAAGTCAGATTCCTCCCATGGCGCCAGGTGCGGGGAAACCTGCAGTAAGTCAGATTCAACTTGCGTAGCTCGGTGTTCAATCCGCTGATTCGGATTTATCTTTCTCAGAATGTACGTCGTGAAGTGTCTTCCGCCTCCACCCCAGCCAACGCAACAGCTCCATTAGAACTTTCCGCAAACGTTGCGCCAGTTCCTCACGCAGCGGGCGCTCAAGGTTTCCCGGCCAACACGTCTTCCACTTCTGCGCCCGGGTCAACGCTGCCGCTCCCTAAAGGCCCCCCGTCATTGGCCAGCGCACCAACTTCCTTGTCCGGTCCCAACGGACCCGCTAGGGCCGTAGCCCGTCGTGAATTGTCGGCCGCAGCTGCTGGAACCGCGTCCCCCGGAAACGCAAATCCAAGTGCTCTCACTGCAACACCTCCGGCTGGGACACCCGGTCAAGGATACCCGTCTTCCATGGGTCAAAATCCTGGTGGATCTTCAGCTTACCCGGCCACCATGAGCCAATATGGATCTGGCTTGGCACCAACCCCTCAAACCACAGGCCCAAGCCCGTACGGCCCGATGAAAGCTTCTTCAGGCGGTTATCCGATGATGAACGGAGGATCAAGCCCTTACTCTGCAACTCCGATGGGTCAAATGGCAGGCCAAAGTCCGTATGGCTCAGCCTCAATGAACCCTAACTCTCCCGGTACACCCGTTGTCTCGATCCAATATCTCCCAAGCGCAAGCAACGCACCGCAAGGAAGCCCTCAAGGAGCATCTGCTCCAAGTGGCCAAGCCCCTTCTCCTCCTTACGCTGCCGGTCAACCTAACTCAGCATCCCGCTCACCAGCTGCTCCTCAATAAATGTGCTGGAATGTGAGAAGGTGAGATCCTTTTAAACTGTTGTCACCTTTCCCAGTTTAACTTTGCTATACTTGTACGCGCGCTTGAATTTGTATTTCTTGGTGTTAGAATGAAACAATACTAATGCAGCGGAATGCAATACAATGGACAATAACATATTGAAAAGCAAACTTAATTTTGATTCTAAGTGACACATTTCCTTGCTTATTGCCAAGAACTCTTGTTGCGTAGAGCAACATTTCTCGACCAATTTCATGCTGCCAACTCACTCAGTGATCAGTTGCCAAGTGTATCATGCATTCCTTGCTTTTTTTGAGAGATATGACTTCTTTGAGTTGTTCTGTTCAACATTTACCCTCTCCATTAACCTCATTCAATCTGCGCTTCCTCACATAAAAGGTTTTTTAGAAGGTCTTGGTGGCAAGAAGCAGACATCATGATACAAAATAGAGAATTTCAATTGATCAAGGTGAATTTCCCTTGATCACTTGAGTACGACAAAGTATCAACCTAGGTTCATACTCTCATCTTATTTCCATGCAAGTAATAATTGTTTTGATCTTTCAAATTGTGCCACTGTTATTGAACTGTAACTTTTCTGCTTCTTCCAACAAGCAAAATCATCTGCTTGGCCTCAAAATATGGCCAGGGAGACTTGATGAAACAAACCCCACGTCTTATTGCATCCAAGCTTGGCGAAACCTATTGGGATCAGTGTGACCCGCGAACATGGGCAGATGGCCGAGTGGTCTAAGGCGCTAGTTTTAGGCACATCTTCTGCATGAGGAGGATCTGAATCACTAGTCTTTGGGCGTGGGTTCAAATCCCACTCTGCTCGTTTTTTTGTGGTCTATTTTCGCTCCCACAGATTCAAGGAACATATACTCATTGCTGTGAAAAGAATAGTGTAATAATGGTTTGAATCTGCAGATTAGCGTGCGCACCTGCACGCCACTAAGGTATCCATTCCAAACATTGAAGGGAAAATTTCATAATATTGTCAAGGGGATCCAAAAAAAAATTTGATGAAGGAAATTGGAATTTTGACGGATCCACCAATTTATTTAAGACCCATTAACTCTCTAATACTGTACAAATATTTGACATTGGTAATTTTATTGAATGACATGTGTTTCTCAGTCAAAAAAAGAAATTGCACTCCTGATAATTATTTAGGCAAGTCTTGAATTCCATCTCATTAAAACTATTAAAAAAATCCAATTCTCTATGTACTGACCAGGGGTACCGGATAGCTAGCCCAGGAAATGATCAATATTTCCTGATAGATAGTGACACAAATCATAAACAACCTAAGAGTTTTAGTTTTGGAAAGCAGCCATGAAAAATATATTTGTGGCATAGTTAGAGATTCACATAATTATTGCTACTTGATATTTCACCCAAATTCGATGATTGACAAGTTGTGATAATTCTGGAATAGGACGTTGTTGACGAAGTCACTGAAAGTCGAACCAGGCGTCCCAACGAAGGAAGTAGCCCTAGCAGCGACCATCGCATCAAGGAAGGGGATCATCAGTTTCCCGATGGCAGGATCCGATTCAGCCTGATGATCTTCAGAAAGTCTGATATCGTTTATTGAGGAGAGTTGAAAGTCGTTCAATAAGTAAGTACACGGAAAAGCCTTGAAGAACGTCTTCAGAGCCGGTTCGACCTGAGGCAAGGGTGAATCAGTCGCAAGAAATAATGGCTGGTTGAACTTCAGAAGATTTGGCTTTGTATGTTTTGGCCCCCGACAAGCCACGTGAGGCTGGTCACTGACGAGCATTGCAGACTGTCGTCGGTAGTCTTGGAGATCGGACTGGCGTAGTGCTTCTTGAAGTGTGCTTAGAGGAAGCTTCAAATGATCTGTGACCATTTTGTTTATGATCGTAGAGACAGTCTCACTTGCGTGTGATCTAAACAGATTATCTCCTACTCTTACGTGGACGCCCAAGTATCCAGTGGGAGGGTGGAAGAGTTGAGAAGCTATTCGTCTGGACAGCTTGTCTAGCACTGGATTATTGAAGACCATCGCTCGTCGAAATTCAGATCGAGCTTGTCGAGCAAGCGGATCGTTGGTAATCTTCAATCGACTGGTGCCAAAGAGTGAACCGATTTCGATCAAGTTGGCATCCGAGTTGCCAAAGTGTTCATAAACATCGATAAACGTATCAAATTTCCCTAGCTCGACTTTCTTTTCTGCCACTTTCTTTCCGGCTTTCTTGCGACTTGGACGGACGAGAAACTTGTACTGATAAATCGTTCCTTCCTTGATTTGTTGGATTTTACCGGCTGGTTTCTTGATCCCGAGTCTCTTGAATAGCCAATCCTCCTCGAATGACTTGCGTTCAATAATCTTGACCGATTTCCTAATTTCATCCATGTTGATGATTTCTTTCCAACCGACCCAGGTTCCTTGAGGTTGACTCAAACATTCCCTTGAAGAGACCATCTGCTCAGAGTCTTCTGATGAGTAGCAGTCTTCATATCCGATCGAACTGATTGTGCGTAATCTGTTTAGAAGTTTATCGAATTCGACCCATGGAATCGCAGTCCCAAGGATGCATGGAGGGATGATCAATGTGCGGTTTAGAACTTTGGCGAGCGTGAGTGCATTCTCGAGTGCGATCCTTTGATTGTGAAAGCCTGAATGAGGCAGATAGCTCAGATATCGAAGCTCATGAGCTGGACCTTGAGGTACTGAGAGCTTCTCTGTTTGAACTGGCGGCTTTTTCTGCGCCTGCTTCTTGATGCTCGTTAGTTCGGAGGATGTTTGCAACCGGTCGTTTCTCTTCGTCAGATCAGCATCCATCCACCAGAGTATCGTCACCAGCGCTATCAAGACCAGGGTGGGGAAGACCACGAAGCGCCGTTTCCAACTCGTCCATGGCGACAAGCGTAGATACGATTTCGGCTTGGTCTTCATCCTATTGGACGATGTGGCCGACGGTTCCTGGAGATCCAACAGGGGCAACTGGGAATAATTTCGCTCGTTCATTCTCTCGGCGTTGTTTCGGTCAACAGGTGTTGGCTGGAGTGATTTTGGGGAGAGAATGCCAGTTTATTTTTGCAAGATCCATAGCAAGTAACAGAAAACGAGCAACGTCCCGAGCATCATTTCACTCTGGGGCGTCCATGCGTCGATCTCCTATTATCCAATCAGCTGATCATGTGCATTGCTAACTTCTAAGTGGCAGAGGACTTCTTTTCTCACGAGCTAACGATCATAATATCGGGAAAGAAACGAAAAAATTGCCAAAGACTTAATCCAGATGAGCCCCTTCGCCCCGTAAATAAGTATGTACCCAGTTTGTGGAAAGCTGATTTTGGGAGACCTAATTCTCCATTCCAAAAAGACGGGAAGAAGGGGTGTCCGTATATCTGGCTTTTCCAAAAGGCAAACAAGCTTGCAGCGCTGGATCGCGATGCAAAATAATCGCAGATTTCCGGAGGTATTTGGAAAGCACCCTATAAGCAAAGGAATGAAGGTTTAATGTGATGGGGAGACAATCGCACTGGACAGGAAACCGTCGTAGGCATCAGACCATCTCTCGATATCCCTGTCATTCCAACCACCTCGACCAATCAGCAGGGAGTCTATGTTATAGGTCCGTCAACCGAGGCTCAGGTCAACAAATAGACATCCAATCTGGAGAAGCCCGCCATCTCGTTGAGCTGGCACTGGCAGTCACAAAATAAATATCGCTAGCCGGCCGGCCGGTATGTACTCGAATGTGACAAAGGGCTCCCCGCTGGCCTCACACGGCCACATGTACATGCCTTGCGGAGGGCGCCGAAGAAAGCTCGGGGGCCGCGAAACGTGAGTTGTGTCCGCTGGGCGCTTGCTTATCACATTTAATTGCACCACATTGCACCCGTTGCTGGTGCCGGTGATGACAAGAGGACGTGATACGACTTTCGGAAGGTGCCACGCAGCAGCTTAGGACTCCGTTTGCTAGATCAGGCTTCATAGCAGATTGCGGTTAACCTCTTGAGGTAGGATTCTCGGGCTTCGGATGACCATGGACACCGTTGAGCAAGTTTTTTACCATACCAGTCGAGACCATTGTCAGTGCTCTGAATGTGTGCATCTTAGCCCACTTACTCCAGAGGTCTGTGTCTTATTTCCGCAGACTTTCAACCGTGATGAGCCAGTAAATGTCCACACTGGGTGGTGCTGGAACAGCTCAAGACACGGCCTTCAACCGAAACGCCTTGGAGTTTCCAATATGAATTGAACTGGCAATAGTCCCGTTGATCTTCAAGTGCAAGGAGCCTTCCACCATTCGATCCCAATACTCCAGCCATTGCAGCTCTAATAACTGACTGAGCTCGTTCAGAAGTGCTCCCAAAGTAACTATTCCCATTATTACCTTCCTTTTGGCCAAACCAGGCCGTACGACGCACTCTTGACTCGCATTCATTTTGAGGCATAACATATAAATCAATACCTTCTCTTAATACGTCCCCGGTCTTCTTTCCTCACTGCTAAGCCTTTTTCCCAAGAACATCTATCAAAACTCAGCATGCGTCACTTCGGCTTAAACTTCCTAGTAGTCTCCTTATCTTTGTCTCAGGCACATGGCAATCAGTATCAGCCAAGTGACGCATCGTCCTATCAAACAGCTGCTCCGGCTACGGTGTCCGGCGTGTCCACTGCCTTCGTCTCTGGTCAGAAAGCTGTCACTGCTCAACTGAAATCCGATGCTCACGCTGCAATCCAGGATTTCTCTGATGCGATCACAACTGCCGCTGGTAACTCCTCCACCCAGTCCTCTGCGGAAACTGCCCAACTGTTCAACACAATTGTCAAAGGAGGTAAGCACATGTGAGATGCCTCTATCAAGTGGCGAAACAATCCAAGGAGCTTGAAGCTGACATGAATCCTGTGTGGGTTGAATAATCCATCAATCAGCAATGTCCGCCCCCATTAACCAAAACATTGGCTCCAGCGCTACTCCCTCACAAGACCGTCTGAACTCGATGGCTGCTTCAATCAATGCTACTTTAAACAGCATCAACGATGCGGCCAACAAGATTTTGAGTAAATCCAATGGAGCCCTGCATTATCAGGATCTCAAAGATTGTATTGGGGGCATGGTGCAACAGGGTGGTCTTCATGATGGCGAGAGTTGTACGATGGTCAGTGTCCCTGGTTCAGCTTGATCGAGTGGAGCGATTTAACACTGACAACTTCATACAGAACGGAATGTCTATCACCGGTGTTTCTAACGTGAGCTTTAACTCAAAGTATTCTTTTGCAAAAAAAAAAAAACAATGTCTTATTGATCAAATCTTGCCTTTGATAATCTCAGATCATGACCAACGTCTTGAAGAACTTTGGAAACAATGCGATTCCACCAGCAGTCATTCATGAGGCCACCAAAGCTCTCGATCCATCTTTCACCGCCATCATCCCAGGAGAAAAAACTTTCTACGATTCCGTGAACAATGCCATCACTTCCGTCCAAGCCTCCGTCTCTGGTCAATTGATCGCCGCTCTGAACGACGCTCAGAACTGCTTTGAATCCGCTATGAAGTCGGAAGGCAGTTATGAGCAAAAGATGCAGATGACTCAAGAATGTAACCGCTCTCCCACCGGAAAGTCCGTGTACAATGATTTGAAGACTCTGTACTTATCCGTGACCAATCAGGTAATTGTCATCTTTGAAACTTTTTGTATAAACAAATCTAATCCAACATCCTCTCCTTTCAGTTTGTGGGCTACCTCCAACCCAATGTGATTGACTCAGTACACGACATTGCTGAACACTATCTGGACAAAAACGACACTGCATCAGACGAGGCTTATTTCCGCCAAGCCGTCAGGAATACAACATCATCTCTTGTGGCCTCAAATGCTGGAAATCAAGTAAATAAGCCACTCTCTCGCATCTCTCAGTCGAAAACTCCAGATCGGGCTAATTCTTTTTTCCGGCGTTGTCGTAGGTCACGTACGCGTATAGTCTAGCCAACTGCTTAGATAGCGTTATTGGTACCACAGATCCCCATGCTGCCTCCAACATTGCCAACACTAAGGACTGTTTAAGCAAAGTAAGATGCTCCTCCTGTCCTGCCACAGGCTCGTTCTGAATGCTTTACTTAATCTTGGGCGCTGTTATTTTAGCCTGATGGTCCACCAGCTTCGGTGAAGCAAATTGTTTATGGATACATCCAACAAGTAGGCTGCCCATCTACCAGTTTCATTTCTTTCAAATGCACCTGGATCATTAATGTTATAACCTTCCACGTCCCTTGCAGATCTACGGAGTCTTGCCTGCCCAGATTGCGGCAAAAATTGAAGCCAGCGGTGTTGACAAGCTGGACCCCGCCGACCCACAGTACCAATCCAAGGTCGCAGCTCTGCACGACACCTTCGAAAAGACGAATGTCGGTCCAGAATACGTGACATGTTACGAAGCATTCGTTGACTGTTTGTTCAACGAGCGGAACGGTGCATTGGAGAAACCTGGAAACACTCAATCCGTCTGTCTTCTCGGCGATGCATGCCAGAAGGCACCCGATGGAAAAGCTAACCTTGCAGTGCCCTTCGGCCGGAGGTCGCTTACTTCGAACGCCGCGCACCTGCTTCGTCGTCTGGCAGAAATGCCCACCAAGACCTCACCTCATCCTGTCCAAAAAGCCAGGATTGTTCGCAAGTACACCATCACCTTGCCCCATCGAAGCTACTTGCTCAACAGCTATCATCAACAGTTTAATTCTTCCTCAGTTTAATTTAGTTCAGTATTCTTTGTGTGGAAGTTTTATCAACCACACATTCCACCGCAAATCGAGGACATTTATTCGGCATTGTCTTTTCGCCCATCTTGCACATTCACTTTTTTCTTATTCATTTCCACACATCCTGATGTATCATGGAAAATTCATATTTTGGGTTTCAAGCTATTTCTCGTTGTTTTGTATCTCACACTCCTTTGACCTTCACTTTTTTTTAATTGCTCATTTCCATCGTTTATTGACCTAATCCACAGGGACATTTTGTATATAGAAGCAAGTTAATCCACAGACAATACATTGGTGCAGATTGGTGCAGTCGTAATATGCATTCCATTTTGCAAGAGAAAAAATAAAAATGAAAAAATGAAAAATCACTTTTAGGCTAGTGACAAATATTCAGTCATATTTGCTGTATTTGGCCAAACAATGCAACATGAAATGTCACATCAAAAGGTAAACATTCTGTGTTAACTCTGGGTACATAAATCAAAGGGAAGATAGTTGAAAACACCCAAAAGGGCCGCAATAGCTTCATAAATGGTAGATCAACCATCCTGTCAGTCCCTTGTAAGAAGAATAAAAAAAGTGACTTTTTACATTGTGTTAAGTCAGCTCAAATGTAACACTCAAAACGGTCAACATACCCTTCAAGCCATATTGTAAAAATATGTTTAGCCTTCCTGAATTCTAAATGAACCCTAAGACCAATTTTCATCATTGTTTATCCAGATGTCATCACTGGATCAAATCAAGTGATTATCAACCTTATGAAACAGGATTAATTGTCCATGTCTTGATGATTAATCAAACAAAAAAAACTTTAGAAATAAAGATCCTCTTTCAGAAGCTGACAACGGATCAAATAGCAATGTGGGTCGCAACAAGCAGCAGGAGCAGCAAACAGTAATGCTTTCCAATACAGATGAGACCTATTGATGAATTCCAGATTGCCATTTACAGCCTTTCAAATTGCGCTGGAAAGTACCTTCTAGTGCACCTCGGGCCCTCCTCTTTGGTGGCACTGGAGGAGAGGAATGAGTAGAAATTGATCTAACGAGTACCAATGGAGATTAATTCCAAGCGGAGAGGACACAAGATTAGAATTGGATTTAATAGAATTAACAATGTAGGATGTTTTAGTCCATCCTTCTATGGATAGATCCCTTAAAAGCGAAGTGTAAAACACTTTTTTGTTTTCGTGAGTGCCCCGCAATGGAGAATTAGCGAGTGATTCACAAATCAACTCAAGAAACTGAAGAGGAATACAAGGAGGGTGAACTGATAACCACAGAGGCGAGATCTATCTCCAGCTAACCTTGGCTTGACACACCAGTGATGAGTTTGAAGCCAGGGCCCCAAGATGGGATTTGTGCAACTTGATTAAGGGTTACGAATAACCAGCTAATTACAAGCAAGAGGCCAATGAGCTTTCCGGATAACGTTCAACTCAGTTGAATCCTCAGCATTTCTACATGATGGCGCGGTGCTGCCTGTCTCTTCGCTAGACTCAGCAGCTGCAGCATGTCCCGTTCAGCAGCAAAGGCGGACAAGGGGAGCAGCTCAGCCAATGGAAAGCAGGAAGCAGCAGAAAGGCTCAGCCTCAAACGGATACAATATAAATACGCCAGCGTCGTTCACCCAATTGTGGTCCCTCACCAACCATCCAAGTGTGCCGGCAGACTTTTACTCCCTCCTCTTTCCCCACCTTACGCTAGGCTAAAGGTAAGACAGCCTTCTACTTTCTCTTCTCTACTCCACAGCCTACCGCTCTCCTCTTAAGCCAGCCTCTCACGCTTTAAATCTTTTCACTCTTATTCCAGATCTAAAGAAAGCGGCTTCTAAAGAATTATCACGATGGAAGAATCCCTCCGCGGAATGGCTCAAGTAGTTGGTAAGTTTATCTGGCATGATTTTTTTTTGTCTTTTTCCAAGCTTTTAAGCTGACAGTAACCATTCCCCCATTAATTTTTTGAAGATCTACTTGAAAGGCACGAGTGCGCCTGGGAAGACAAGGAGTACCGCGAGGCTCTTCGCCAAGCATCAAAGAAACCCTGCTATGTGAACACCGAGTCGAAAGTCATCACCTTAAGACAAATGGTTGCGAGGGACCTTGGCTTCCAAGTTTCTGTCAACCACCCCAGGCTTTGCCACTTATGTCTCACAGATGACAGTGCTCCCCAGAAGAATCGTGGCACTCCTCCCGTCCCAAGCTCGGATGCCCAAGGCCAATTCCCACTACGACCCTCAAAGGTTCCTGCACGCTCTGTGGATGATGAGGCTGCTGCACGATTGCGACGGGTAATCTATGAACTTGATCGCGTACTTGGCACAGATTGAATTGGCCATGACTGATGAATATTAAAGTTTTCTTCTTTCCTTATATCCTCTTTTATCGAATGCATAACATCTAATCTATCTTGTAGCTTCATCGTCTTGTATACTCTTGTCACTTGGAATTATCAATGAAGCTTGTATCCTGTCTCCTCCCCTCTCATAATGTAATCTTATACCTTCCATTCCATTTCAAGCTCTCTGTTTATTATGGATTTATTTCTCTTCTTTTCTTTTGATTCAAGCAGTATCAAGACAACTTCACAATAAAAAGCAGTTATATTACCCAGCCATTGGAGCTGAGCTCAGGCCATTGTAGCTGCACTCTTAGGTACTGATAGTCTATCTCGTTAGCATTTTGTTTCAACTTGATTTAAAATTGAATCCAACAATATCTTGAGAATAAACATGAATTCTGGCTCTCAATTTTTTTAATAAACACTTGAAATATATGATGGGTGTTGTTTTCCCCCTTTCAGAAATGCCAAATTTCCCGATGGGAGGTCTCAAGATGACACACTATCATTGGGAATAAAAGCTGTTTAAACATGATGATTTCATGTTTACTTACATTTTCATATTGTAGCTCTGCTAATGGTGGGCCATGAGCATAAGGACCACAAACAGCAAATGAATCAGCCAGTTTTTTTTACTTTTTGTTGTTTTTCTCAAAACAAAATAGTGATACCCTCTGATGGCTTAAAATGTGAGAAGGGCTATCTCAACTAAAAAATGCCAATATGAGCTGTTATTGAGGGCTATTTTCCAGAAGCACTGGGTCACTATGCTACACTGCACTAAATGTCCATGTAACATTAGTGGAGCAGCCTCTGACTCATCCCTTTGGTGAGTCTGCACTATGGTGCTTTTGGTGACTTTGAGTTCTGCTTGAACACAATGTAACAACTGGAGGCTTATAACAACGGTGGGCCAGCTACGCTAACCGTAGCGTTAGCGTAGCAATTTTTTGCTACAATTTAGTGTAGCGTTAGCACTTTTTTCATTTTTTGCGCTAACGCTACGCGCATGGGGCTAAACCTTGCGCTAACTTTTAGCGTAGCGTTAGCGCGATTCCCCCCATCTGCGCTAACGCTACACGCACAGGCCGCCAAAAACTGCCCACTACGCTGCGCTACAGCGATTTATAGCGGTTTTGAGGCGTTTTTTGCCGCTAAAAACGCTGTAGCGTAGCGTAACGCAGCGTAGCGGCGCGCTAACCATACACCAAAAAATGGCTAGTGTTAGCGCCGCTACAAATTAACGTATAGCGCCACTACAAATTAGCGTAGCGCAGCGGCTGTAGCGGCGCGCTAACACTACGCAAAAAAAACAATTGGCGCCGCTACGCTAACGCTACATGGGCCGGTAGCGTAGTGTAGCGTAGCGGCCCACCGCTGCTTATAACCAGTCCACCTGTCTTGTATCAGCATACCATTTCTATAAGCTGTTGGCATCTAGCAATCTTCAGACTGCACTAATACTATGCTATCTTAATGCTGCATTTAATGTAGCCATTCCCAGTGCTGTCTCCAGCTCTTGACATGATTGTTAGTAATGCTCTGCTTAGCCAATACACCAACAGTCATGAATTGTAACAAGTTTTTGTCACTTCACAATGCATCACAGATATGTGTATCTGCAGCAGCCTAATGTTGGCTCTACCTTTTCTCTTTTTGTACATACTCTACTGGTTGACTACGATAGATCCTTTGTGTCTTGCAGTGGGGGCTGTAGTTGCACAGAGTGGGGTGCTCGGTGGGTAGGTAGCTGGACTTGGGTTGCTTTTAACTGTCATCTGGTGATACCAAATTATTCCTGGTGTATATGCAGACACCTTTTTTGGAAAAAAAAGTGTAGACTAGTGGCCTACCTTTGGTTTTAAGTATAAGCATAACTGTACCACAGTCAAATAACTACTAGGACTTCATACAAGCATACTATAGCACACACCTCTAAAGTAATTATCACTTGCCACCAAAAGGAGGCACTTTATAAACAAAAGTCTTCTTGGGCTGAGAGGTATGCAAATGTGTACCTCAATAATCTGTTTTGTTTTAGGCTATATCTCTTTTGAAAAGAAAATCACCAAGCTCTTCATGATTAAGCATGTGCTGAATAGTTAAGACATGCAGATACATCCAATATGTGTGCCTTTGGCATTCTCTCAAGCTACCTTGATTTAATGCAGGTGATAAAACCACATGGACTGGTGTGGCAGTCTTGGGGAGACACATAAGACATGGATTTTGGAGGCCCACTAGGATGCCAGATTTCTTGAGGAAGGCTCACGATGACCAAGATTGGTGAGCAAGAAGGTAGTCAGTTCATGGCCTTGGCCATTAGTGATTCTGGTTAGCTCATCTTCAAAACTGATGCCTGTCAACTTGAGGCCAGAACATCTATTCATGAGTCGGCAACCTGGATGATGGCTATTGGGAGAGAACTTAGTTAAGGTTGGGGTTCTGGATGAGTGTTCACGGCCAGCTATTGTCAAGGTTAAGGTGAGGGATCCTATGAAGGGGTTTTTTTTGACAACTGATTCAAGCAGCAGAATTAAGATAATCAAAGATAAGGAAACCAGAAGCAAGGGAATACTTCTAGGTGATCATTAACATCAAGAACAAACAAGAAATTGTTTATTTATGTTTTTTTTTCTAGTGATGCAGTTGCTTGTTGATTATGTAGCTTGGCCAGTGGAAGAGGCTGATGATTGGGGGCAGGACAAGGTTGAGGTGAAGTGAAAGGGGGGGTTAATTGGGTTGAGGTTGAGGGTGAAAGGGGGAGCAGACTGTCTCGAGTAGGAACACCCATCCTCAAGCCAACAACCACCACCACCACCAAAACCATGCAGAACGAACCAGACCCAAACTACATCGACCCACTCATCGCACTAGCACCCACCCCAACCAACCTCTCACGACTAGCAGCAACAGCAACAACAACAGACAAACTCATCCAGATCAAACAAGTCTTCACCAATGCCTACCTCAGAGCGGCCAGCACCGGAGACAGCGACCTACTAGAATGGCTGCTCAACAAAACCACCACCCCAAACGAACACCCACTCTCACCATCCCCATCCAGCTCACACCATATCACCCTCCTCAAACCAGGCCAAGCACGACAATGGATCGATCTAGAGGCCAGGGACGAAGACGGATCACCAGCTATCATCCTTGCCGCCGCCTTCGGCCATGCAGAGGCTGTCAGGGCCATCGTAGACGGACTGGGTGACCAAGTCGTTGACAGAAGAGATGCTGGTCAGTACTTCCTTCACACCCCCAACAACAAACCCATCCCAAACTAAAACTACACACACATCAGTTGGCTGGACCGCCCTACATTGGGCTGCTCGGAATGGCGACCTGACCATCGTCTCATACCTACTCAACCATGGTGCCTCAACCTCACTAGTCTCATTCACCGATCGATTTCCTTCCGAACCTCCGCCATCTTCCCTACACAGCCGCCAAGCCTCATCCTGCTCTAACTCAATCTATGCCGGCTCTGACTCTCGCTCATTGGCCCCAAGTGAGCAAGACTCAACCTCAACAGCAACAACCCCACATCCTCCCAAGCGAAGGCGAACAAAACCTAGAGGCCTCCGTCCCTACGACCTTGCCAAGAGAGACGAACAGGGAGAGACCATCCGCGAGATCATCAGAATCGCCGAACAAGCTAAATCCTCCACCATCCCCCCTCACTCTCGTCGTCCCTCTCAAGCCTCAGTCCGGAGTCTCAGACTAGCCGAAGTTCAATCCGAGGCCGACCTGGCTAAATCTGAAGCCAAGAAGATCATCCAACTTGCCAGACTATCCTCAAAAACACTCGATATCGAGCCGAGCCTATTAGGCCTAGAGCCTGAATCAAATCAGAATCAACCCATCGATTTCCCCTCAAACCTTCATCTTCATCATCATCATCATCATCATCATCATCATCATCTACAAACACAAAACCAAGCGGTCATCAGTGGTCTCATGGCCAGTTTTCATGACGAATGGGAGCAGGAGCAACGGGCAGAAGAATTCGAATGGGAACGCTGTCAACCGGATCAGATGCTCGTCTGCTCACTCGAAGAACTCGAGGGGGTCTTCGAGGCAGTCATCAAGACGATCGAACCTCGCCAAGCCAGATCCGACCGCTCCGTCCCAGCCAACGTCTTGTTCTTCTGTGCTCGTTTCGCCGCTCATATGGGCACCGTCGAACTATTAGAAGAAGTCTTGTTAGGAGCTGTTGATCGGATAGAGGAGATGATTCTTGTAAGCTCTTCTCACACTTTTTTGATTAGGTCCTGGTTCTTGACTTTTTTATGCTTGGACAGGCTCGACAGGAGAATATGGCCAACTCGACCTTCTGGCTGTTCAACTCAATCTGTTTGCTATACTACATCCGCCGAGAACCCTTACTGAACGAGCTCACGGCACCCGACATCCAACTGCACTTCGAAGACCTTGTGAATGAGATCTATGTGTTTATTATTCGGGATGCCGAGCGGCGCTTGGACAAGCTGATCGACTCGACCATCCTCGACTTCGAGCCCTTGCCCGAGATGGCCGTCGACTTCGAGCCCGAAGGATCCTGGCGCTTCGTCCGAGCACTGACCGTCAAACGCAACCGAACCACTTCCTTCAGACCCGCAATCCCTCGATTTAATACCAAGCTGGATACTGCCAGTAGTGACGGCACTCAGGTCACCTCCCCCACCAAACCACCCAGCTCTACTCTCAGCGTCACCAGTTTTTCCTCTCCTGGACACGGACCTCGAACAACTAGCGCCCCCAACTCATCCCAACCCCACTCATCCTTACCATCCACCCTCAAGACCACCAAGATGATCACCGATCTACTCTCGTCGGTGCTCTATCTACTCCAAGCGTATGAGATCCATGGCTCGGTGATTGTGCAGATCTTTTCGCAGATCTTCTACTGGCTCTCATGCGAGACCTTCAACCGGATCATCTCAAGACGCAAATATCTCTGTCGCTCGAAGGCCATGCAGATCAAACTGAATGTGACGACGATTGAGGAGTGGGGCCGGGCGAACCGGCTGCCGACGGGCGTGGTCCGGAAACACTTGGAGCCGCTCAACCAGTTGCTCAAGTGGATCGAGTGTCTCTCGGCCAGCGGGGCCCGCTCCTTCGACCAGCTCATCGAGATCGTCTCTAGTCTTAAAACCCTCAACCCCGCCCAACTGCTCAAAGTCTCGAGAGACTATCGCTTCGAAGTCGACGAGCCAAAGCTCTCGGAGGAGTGTCGCCAGTATCTGGTCCAGACCCAACAGGACTGGGACCGACGTCGGATCCAACGAGTCTCGGAACTCGAGCTGGACGACAAACGCTCCTCCTCCTTGGAGCCCGGGGAGACCACGGTCTCCTTACCCTCTTCGCCTGCGAAGGAAACGATCATTAAGACGAAGGACGACGGGCTGGCCAAAGCGATCCAAGCCATCGATGCCGCCTTCGGGAGCGACGAGGACATGGAGGCCTACGGCTCGTACGAGCCGCCAGTGGCCCCGGAATGTCTCGGCGAGCTGCTCGACTCCCGCCAGATGCTGCCCTTCGGCCTTCCCACGGCCACCGAGGTTCTGCTCAGCTTCAAGAAAACAGTGCCCTTTGGCAGTCTTAAGACGTATCTCATCCCCGACGAACCGAAGCCTGGCAGCCATTGGTGGGCTTCCTCGGATCTCTCGTCTCTCTCTGATGATGATGAATCTCTCTCGGATGATGATGCCGTTGATGATCAGATTCACCTTAATGGTAATGGTCATCATCAGGAGCCGACCGACGATCAATCTTCTTTTGAAACCCCGCGGCTCAAACCCTCGCTAGCCTTATCCTCCTCACCCTCACCATCCTCCTCCTCCATCTCCAAGCCGACGCCCCTGCCCTCAACCAACTCCCATGCCTCTTCTTCGCCCTCCTCTTCTCCACCCTCTGTCCTCACCCCTACTACCCCTACCACTACCACTACTGTCAATAAGAATCCCGCCCAATCGCGTAATCCCGTCGTCCCGATCGTCCCCTCTCATGTCCTCAAACGTATCGATCGATGTCTGTTTAAGTCTAATACCGCGTCTACTTAATCTCATTTATTCACTCTTTCTTTGCAGATCTTCGTTTAGTCTGTTGTCGGTTTCTGTACCTTGTTCTTCTTTCTTTATCTTCTCTCTCTCTCTTCATCTTCCTTGATTGATTAATCCTCTCTCTTCTCTCTCTTTCGATTACTCCATTGATCTTGGTTTTTTTTTGTTAATCATTCATCTCGTTTTTTTTGGGGGTTTTTTTTGGGGGGTGGGGGAGGGGTTCAGTGTTGGGTTTTTGTTTTGGTGGTGGGTGTTGGCTGAGTTGACGACAACAAAAACAAACAGATTGGGTTGGGTTGTAGGAGATACAGATATGTTTGAGTAGAGCAAGAAGAGCAAACATACATATCTCATGATCGGGATAAACGAATATTATTTAGGCCTCGTTTGGCCGTCCACGATCGTAATAGGCCGTCGTCTCCAATCGTTAAATCAAAATCTAGGTTTGATGATTCCAGGCTGTGCAAATGACGCAGCCTGAAAATCCTCATCAACCTCGCTGTGAGGACTTATGACGCAAAATTTTGGGGGGACCCAAAATGTTGGAATTGGCAGGGAATATATTTCGCTGACCACTTCCGTAATAAGAAAAGTGGATATGACGTGGCCTCCCAAACACCATCGTGAGGCCCCGTCTTCAGCTGTGCACCCCCGATATATTCGCCATGATCGATTATGACGATCATGGACGGCCAAACGAGGCCTTAATGATGAAAAGATACAATCGATTTAATGAATACACTTTTGGGCAAGAATGAATCCTCCAACAAGATTGTCCATGGGAAACCAAGCCCGTGTCTAAAAAAAATAAAAGTAAGTGCATACAAAGGCAACAAGAACAGAAGTGACGTCCAAGTGCGCAAATCCCCAGGATCAACGTTAACTCACGTAATGTAAAGACAGTCATACGTGAGTTGCGAGGCGACTTGAACCCCCGCTCACCAAGATTTCCTGACGACGATCCCTTTTCCCTGTGTGAGACACGAATTGTGTCCTCCCCCGCACGGATGGTACATGTGGATCTTTTGCTTACTGGCAGGCTACTGGCGAGTTGTAATTAGAGAGGGGTGACATGAGTTAAATCCATGGGCACCAATACTGGAGACTATGCCACTATTACATGAAGAGAGCCTCTCAGGCCTGATTTGAGGCTTCATGTCTGGTCAGACTCGAGACAATTCATCGCTTGTTTGCAGTTGACCCAACTGCAAGACTAATGACTATCATCCTCGACTTTTGTAACCTTGTGAAAACGAGCGGTTCAAATTTCAAGAATGACTGGGCACTTTGCTTTGATCAATGAAGCAATACATAGCTTTCATCAAATCATCTTTCGTACAAGGCAAATCAATCTGCTTTTGGATTTTTAATTTTGAATTATGGGTGTGTGGGTCAATCCCTCCACAAACCGTCTATCATGTTGGACGTTTCGATTCTCGCACTTTTGGCCAGCTGTGTATGTTGACTCGAAGGCCAACTATTAAAAACATAGGATGTAGTAATTAGTGAGCTGTCAGACTTTTCACTTATACAAGTATGTAATTTGTTAGTGTTGAAGATCAGCGGACTTGGAAGGGAATTTTGACTGAGAGGTCCCCCCAAACTGGCGGTTCCTGCGGCCGACTGAATCCCCACCAAAAATGCCCATCTAATCCACCTCTTAGGCACGCCCGAGTCACCTTGTTTAGGGGATGGCGGCCAGTCCTCTCCAGTTTTTGGCGCAATACTCCTCCATGGCTAGCTGGCGTATGTAAGGCCATCGTTGGAAACCAGGCCAAGGCAGTGCCCTCGACAATCCCTATGTACGTTGGAAGATGGCCCGACGCAACGTGTTTCCGTAAGCCTTGCCCCGGAAGTCGGGCCAACACGACGGCTCTCTGTAAGCCTTGCATGGGAAGGAAGTCGGGCCGACTGCGGCTTCCGAGTACACCTCCCGCTATGAAACACCCATTTTTTTGGGGGCGGTGGCGGGAGGGTTGGGCCAACGCGATTTTTTACTTCGGCCTTCGGTTGACCAGAACCTGTGGGGTAGGTGTATGCGCTGGTGAGGTGCACCATGTGATGATCAGGCTTCTTGACAACATCCAGAAGTCAAGATGACTTGAGCAACGCGAAGTCCTGATAAGCATTCCTTCTAACCAAGTCCTGATTTTTCCTTTGCTTCCTAGTAACGCATCCGACTCCTGAGGCGGCAGGAAAGTGTCTCTCGGGCGGGAGGAGTTCTGCGGCACAACGGGCGCACGCCACAAGTTACCTAGAACGGTGGATGGTGTACGGTGTGGGTGGGCCACAAGTGGTCCATCCAGTATAAAACCGCTGGTTTCTCTCATCCCGGAGGCGGAGGGCATCAACCGGCATCACTCGTCTCACACTCACACTCACCGTCTAATCTCACACATCTCATCAGTCATTGTTCCTAATATTCCAAGTCACAAGCAAAAAATGTTCCTCAAAGATTGGGCTCAAAGATCTTACATCATCTATGCAGTCATCATGATGATGAATCTGTTGCCCTCTGTTCAGCTATTAGAATCGCCCGAACGTTCCCTTGTCCGAAGACGTTTAGGCCATGAACCTGAGCAAGTCTGCGATAAAGAATTCTCGTTCAATACAAACCTAGGACATTCAAGTAAGCCCGCCACCATTAATGCCCTCCGTAGAAGATGACATCCCACACAGTCACTGTTCCTGATTTGTCGGCCAATTCCCCCGAAATCTTTCTGTAGAATGTACAACCAAGAAGGGAGAAGTTTACGTTTGCGACTATTCGGATTGCCCGGGCAGTGAGTTGTGCACACTTTTAGAGTTTGATGGCAAGGATTCTCCGGACAAATCACTCAAATCCTTTCTTGTTGTTACGCACTCGTGCTGGATAACTACTATCAGAGGGCAAACCAAGGTTTAGGTTTGTGGACTGCCTGCCGATCGATGAGGCCACTCACCTGCCCAATCCAACCGCAGGAAAAATGAATATATACCCATATGAATATTCGACTGTGGACTACTTTGAAAACTATAAATTTATTCGTAAGTCGTACTGAAGGCTCTAGGATGGATGTCATACATAATAACTAAATCAGTTGAACCAACGCTTATATGTCCAACGCCTCCCATCCCTCTCCCCGGCTTTGTAGAGGCCGTCGATAAGAGGGGTAGATTCTTCGCATGTCCACAGGTTAAAAACACTGAATACCTTAGTGAGTCTCTCAATTCCGAATGTCATCTACATAGACACGCCGGCAGACTAACGCGAGACTTACACCCACCAAAACAGCGTGCACCTATTGTCTCAAGTCTGCATCCACACCCACGCCCCTATAGAAAACTGCACTTGGTATCTGGCCGTCGATTTCGTCAAACTGTGGAACCCGGAAGAAATCGCCAGACTTGTTGGGCTCACACGTTCTTTTTTTTGTGGAAAGATGACTCTGTATTCTGTGCCTGTCCTTACACTTCCTTTTTAGTCTCTCTCTCTCTCTATTCAACTCCTTCCCGTGTCTAGTTATCCCTCCTTGCCCTTCTCCACTGGCGGGTGTTTTACAAGTATCTGCATCGTTCCAGCCACATCCTCTGGCAAAATGTGATTAGTGTCTATAAAATAGTTGTTCTTATATTTTGTTTGTACCCTGTGGCCATCAAATCTTGTGACCGACAACGAACTGTCTAATTGTAATCGCCCAAGTCAAGGCCCAAGAGGGAAAGTGTGGCCAGAGATAATAAAGACATTGATTTTCCCCTCCCTACGATAACCACTTCTGGATTTCATCCACGGCCTAGCTTGATTGGCTTTGAGTGCTTGTGGCTACCAGTACCGGCGAAGGACTTTGAGTTGCTAATTTATCACCCTCTCCAGGTTGGGTTCCGTGATCCTCATAAATGGTGTATTCTGCCCCAACTTTCATCACCATTGAGCAATTTATTTGGCCTCTGTCTTCGTGATCGCTTTTGTATCAGTTTACTTTGGCCTTCATTTCGGCCAAGGGGACGTCGGTTCTCGCATACTGCTTCATAGCCGTACATACCCTAAGCGATTGTCGATGGCTCTCTCTCTCTCTCCAGAAAAATCGGATAAGCTGATCCGATCGTGCAAGTGCCAACAAATGCAACATAATATAATAATTTTGAAAAGAGTACATAGGCCCGGTTGACGGGCAGCGAGCAATCTCGAGAAATTAAACTTTTGGATGTATCAACACCACAACTCTGAAGATCGGTCCCTAGATATGGAACTTTATAATAGTATCAACTCGGGCTACAAAAGCTAGATTATGTATCCAAGCAGGGACATTGATCAGAGTCTCCACACTACAATATACGAGCCTGGAGATGGAATCATGGATGAAGAATATAGAATATGTGCGGAGAGAGCAACAGACATGGTTGACAGTTCATCCACCGAACTATGTACAAAATCTAAGATTGTAATGTAGGATGTATAGATAAGCCTTGATCCATCAGTCTTTCTGACATGGTCTACCGTCAAGATCGTGAATCCAGCATCCGCAATCTTGAGGTTAACTGTAAGACAATCACCCGGGAATGGGATTGATGTGGAGCCAGAAGAAGCAATTGTAATTCAGAGAGAGAGAGAGTGTGTGTGTGTGTGGATGGGCTACATAGAAATTTAAAAAAAATGCCATGTGCTCGATAGATATCCGAACTTTGGACATCATTTGTAGCGTGTCGAGTGTGTCAGCTTCCATCCCATCCAGCCATCTGAATTCTGAATGAATCTAACTGGTTCTTGCTTGATCATGTGTTGTTGGGTGTAAATATGTATGATCGATGTCCTTGAGACCAGACTAAAAGATGTAGGTCGAGTGCTGGACATGTGCTCGTCTGAAGTCTGAAGTCATGGGCTGCACTAGTGCATTACGCGTTCTTTGAGTACTAAAGTGCAGCGGTTTGTATAACCCATGAGGTACACTTCTAGCTTTGTTGTCAGAGGTCAGACCTGGCTCATGAGACGCCTTCCACCTCATCGCCGCCAGCTGGAGGAGCATTAAGCAACGTTACAACATAGAAACGGTGATCATCCATTAATATTTGAGCTCCTGGTCGTTGCTGAAACAACCCTGCAACTCGCAGTCATGGCTCCAAGAGTTTTCCTCATGTATATGGAAAAGTCTTACATAGCTTGGGGCCCACTCTTGGCGGTACGGTACATATTCATATTCATTATTATTGTTAGATGATCAGCTGGCTCATCGTCGGACCGAGGGCCGTCGGTGGGATGTATCCAGTAATTCTGGACCGGCTTTGCACTGCCGGTAAGCAGAAAGATAATAAATACCGTCTCCTGCGATCAGCCAAGTTGACCGCCAAGCCGTCTGCGCGAGTCGATAATTCACTGCCATTCAAGAGCTGGTTTTGTATGCCCTACCATGTACTCGGCCATCCGTTTCAAATGAGCCACTTTCGTCCAGGTTTTTGTTTTTACTGGAAATGAGACCTGATTTGCCTAATGAGTACATAATGACATCTTCAAGCGCCGGCTCACGTAACCAAGTGTGGTCGACAGTATAAGAAAGATGATTTCCTTTTGGTATGGATGTATGGGCTTATGGATGTGTATCCGCAAGTGTATGTACTTATGAAGGTGGTGTATAAATGCTTTTTGACTCGGCCTCCCCCTGCAACGGTCTCTCTCTCCCTCTCTTTCTCCTTGAAAGGCTCACGCTTCTTCCCCTCCCCCTCTTTTGTATTCCTCTCTTTCCCTGGAAGTGTCCCGATTCCCTCTTCTTCTCACAGTGGTGTGTGTTCATAGAAGCAGTCCTTTCTCCTGACTGTGCTCTTACAGTGAATGAACTCGTCTCGTCTCGAATCCTCTAGTCCGATCCATAGCAAGATCCATTTCGGTCATCAAGGCTTCTTCTCCTCGACTCACCCGCTCCCCGCTCTCGATCCAGCTCTCTCTGTCCGGCGAGGTCACATCCAACGAATCAGCTGGCCTGGGGCTTTTTTTTTACATACAAGCTGAGAAAGAACACTCTGAGCTCTATTAGTCGCTGTAGACCAAGGCCCGTCGGTTCCCTGACGATTTGTGAGTCATATGGTCGATTTATCTATCATTTTAGTCGGTAGCCCCCTTCTCGCTTTCAACTGTTTATGAAGTCTTGACAGAAGGAACAGACATGCTTCCAAGCT